GTGTAGGGGCTGGAGAAGGTGACAGGGATAGGGAGGGAGTGTAGGGGGCTGGAGGAGGTGACAGTGATAGGGAGGGGTTGTAGGGGGCTGGAGGAGGTGACAGTGATAGGGAGGGCGTGTAGGGGGAGGGAGGGGCGAATAGAGCTTGGGAGGGGGTCAGTTGGGAAGAATGGCCGGTTTCTGCACAGTGCAATCCTTCATAATTCTGCAATCATTCTCAAACACAATGTGTGAACCAATGCCTGCACTTGGCTGTCTCCACAGGCACAGGGCTGTTCCTGGTTGGTCTTACCTTCGGAGCTCCGTGTAGATTGGCAGAACCTCTGGGTGGCACACAAAAGCAAAGGCCAGAATGGGGATGGTGTAGGCCGTCTGTCAAATGCAGTACAAGTCACCATTAAACACTGCTGAACTGTGATTAAAAAACCCACAGAGTAAAGCTTCCTCTACACTGTTCCCCCACGCCCATCAAACACTTCCAGGAAAGGGACAGCACAGGGTTAAGTACAGAGCAAAGCTCCCTCTACAATGTCCGCCCATCAAACACTCCCAGGACAGAGACAGGGGGTTAGATACAGAGTAAAGCTCCCTCTACACTGTCCCCCCCCATCAAACACTCCCAGGGTCAGGAACAGCAGGCAGTTAGATGCAGAGTAAAGCTTCCTCTACACTGTCACGCCCATCAAACCCTCCCAGGGACAGGACAGCATGGGGTTAGATGGAGAGACCTACCTGAGGATTGATGGTGAACAGTTTCGCTGTGCACTGATCACTGTTGGTCTGGTTTGTGGCAGCAAACAGTGAGCTGATGTGGTGGGTACCGTTAGTGGACGGGGGGAGCGGACATGGGATTTGAAATTTCTTGTAGATCAGCTGCAGGAAGACACAAAGGAAGATTGTTACTTTCCCTCACACTATTTGGACACAGGAGGCATCGCAAATGGCCACACAGCCAATCATCTGTGATTCACTGAGTTTGAGGGTTCGGAGCATCGCCTCCCCCCCCCCCACACCCTCCCCCTCCTAAGGGTATAATAAATCTTCAAACAAAGCCGAGGTCATGAAATATCTTTAGCAAACAGGGTTAAGGAAAATCCCAAAGCCTTTTATTCATACATAAGGAGTAAGAGGGTAACTAGAGAAAGGGTTGGCCCACTCAAGGACAAAGGTGGGAAGTTTTGTGAGGAGTCAGAGAAAATGAGTGGGATTCTTAATGAGTACTTTGTGTCGGTACGCACCGAGAGAATGTTGAGGTTAGGGATTGATGTTTGATTACTCTAGGTCAAGTCGGCATGGGGGGGGGGGGGAAGTGTTGGGTATTCTAAAAGGCATTAGGGTGGACAAGTCCCCAGGTCCAGATGGGATCTATCCTAGGTGACTGAGGGAAGCGAGAGAGGAAATAGCTGGGGACTTAACAGATATCTTTGCAGCATCCTTGAGCACGGGTGAGGTGCCGGAGGACTGGAGATTTGCTAATGTTGTCCCCTTGTTTAAGAAGGATAGCAAGGATAATCCAGGAAATTATAGACCGGTGAGCCTGACATCAGAGGTGGGGAAGCTGCTGGAGAAGATACTGAGGGATAGGATCTATTTACATTTAGAAGAAAATGGGCTTATTAGTGATAGGCAGCATGGCTTTGTGCAGGGAAGGTCATGTCTTACCAACTTGATAGAATTCTTTGAGGAAGTGACAAAGTTGATAGATGAGGGAAGGGCTGTAGATGTCATATACATGGACTTCAGTAAGGCGTTTGATAAGGTTCCTCAAGGTAGGCTGATGGAGAAAGTGAAGTTGCATGGGGTTCAGGGTGTACTGTCTAGATGGATAGAGAACTGGCTGGGCAACAGGAGACAGAGTTGGAGTCGAAGGGAGTTTCTCAAAATGGAGAACTGTGACCAGTGGTGTTCCACAGGGATCCGTGTTGGGACCACTGTCGTTTGTGATATACATAAATGATCTGGAGGAAGGTATAGATGGTCTGATTAGCAAGTTTGCAGATGACACTAAGATTGGTTGAGTAGCAGATAGTGAAGGGGACCGTCAGAGAATGCAGCAGAATATAGATAGATTGGAGAGTTGGGCGGAGAAATGGCAGATGGAGTTCAATCCAGGCAAATGCGAGGTGATGCAGTTTGGAAGATCCAATTCAAGAGCGAACTATACGGTAAATGGAAAAGCCCTGGGGAAAATTGATGCACAGAGAGATCTGGGTGTTCAGGTCCATTGTACCCTGAAGGTGGCAACGCAGGTCGATAGAGTGGTCAAGAAGGCATATGGCATGCTTTCATTCAGCAGACGAGGTATTGAGTACAAGGGTTGGCAGTTGTATAGGATTTTGGTTCGACCACATTTGGAATACTGCACACAGTTCTGGTCGCCACATTACCAAAAGGATGTGGATGCTTTGGAGAGGATGCAGAGGAGGTTCACCAGGATGTTGCCTGGTATGGAGGGCGCTAGCTATGAAGAGAGATTGAGCAGATTAGGATTATTTACATTAGAAAGACAGAGGTTGAGGGGGGACCTGATTGAGGTCTACAAAATCATGAGGTATAGACAGAGTGGATAGCAAGAAGCTTTTTCCCAGAGTGGGGGACTCAATTACTCGGGGTCATGATTTCAGGGTGAGAGGGGAAAAGTTTAAGGGAGATGTGCGTGGAAAGTTCTTTACGCAGAGGGTGGTGGGTGCCTGGAACGCGTTGCCAGCGGAGGTGGTAGAGGTGGCCACGATAGCATCACTTAAGATGTATCTAGACAGATACATGAATGGGCAGGGAGCAGAGGGATACAGATCCTTGGAAAATAGGCGACAGGTTTAGACAGAAGATCTGGATCGGTGCAGGCTTGGAGGGCCGAAGGGCCTGTTCCTGTGCTGCAATTTTCTTTGTTTGTTCTCTCTCACACACAAACACACAGCTCCCTCGGCCCTGACCCTCCGACAGCGCCCGCTCCCTCGGCCCTGACCCTACGACAGCGCCCGCTC